GCTCACCGGCGCCACGTACCAGCGCGACGTGCTCGCCCGCCTGCTGCGGCACCGCGTCCGCTCGCCCGCCGCCTTCGAGTGGGCCGCGCTGCTCAAGTACCGGGTTGCCCTGCACCCTGAACGGGCCGCGGCGGCGCAGGCGCCGGCGGCTGCGTGGGCCGCCGGTCCGCCCGGCTGCTGGGCGGAGATCCTCGCCGCCCGCGTGCCCTACGGCTACGAGTACGTGGGGCCCGGCGCGCGGCTCGCGGGCAGCCCGCAGCTGGAGCGCACCGTGCTGGGGCTCCTCCTGGCCCTCGAGGACTTCCGCTGCGCCGGCGCCCTGGGCCGCTGCGGCGCCGCCAACGCGGCCACGGTGCAGGGGCTGTCGCGGGCGCTGGGCCGGCACCTCGTCGTCCTGCAGTGCTCGGCGCGGGTGCCGCTGAGCTCCCTGCGCCGCTTCGTGCGCGGCGCCGCGCAGGCCGGCGCCTGGCTGCTGCTGGAGGCCGTGGAGCGGCTGGAGGCCGGCACGCTGTCGGGGCTCGGCCGGCTCCTGGCCGACGTGCAGGCCGGCTGCGCCGCCCTYGCCAGCAGGCAGGGCCCCCCGGCGCCCAACGCGGCAGCCGAGCGCAGCGGCAGCCCCGGAGCGGAGGAAACGGGGGGCAAGGGCGCCCCGCGCAGCGAGGGGGCCGGGGCGCTGCAGCCGGGCGAGCTGGGCAAGATCCTCCTGGASGGAAGCCTGGTCGGCGTCAGGGAGACCTACGGCTGCCTGGCCACGCTGCGGCGCGTGCCCGAGYCGCTGCAGCTGGCCGTGCGCCCCGTGGCCGTGCTGGCGCCGGAGCCGCGCCGCGTGCTCGAGGCCGCGCTGCTGGCCAGCGGCTTCCAGGCGGCCGCGCGCCTGGCCGACAAGCTCGCCGCCTTCCTGCAGCCTGCGGGGACGGGGACGGGGACGGGCGCCAGCCGCCTGGCCATGCTGCAGCAGGCGGTCACCGTGGCCGGGGACCTCTTGTCCCATGGGGCCGCGCCAGAGGCCACCGGCCTTCAGGCGAAGGAGGGGGACCCGTTTCAGCTCCCCGTGTTCAAGCACCTGACGGAGGAGCAAGCGCTCGTACAAGCCCTCTGCTTCTCCCCTCTCCTTCACGGCCACGTGAGGGCTAAGGAGAGCAGCGTGTGGGAGCTGCTCCGAGGGATCTTTCCAGCCTCCTGCTCCGGGCTCGGTGAGGAGCAGGAGCCGCCGGAGCTGCTGGGGGCCGCGGCTGCCCAGCTGCAGGAGGACGGACTCGGTGCAGACGCGGACTTGGCGGGGCTGGTGAGCGAGCTGCACCAAGCGCTGCTCGTGTCCACGGCGGTGCTCCTGGTGGGCCCGGCGGGCAGCGGCAAGACCACGGCGTGGAGGAGCCTGGCGCGGCTCCTGGGCCGSCTGGCCAGGAGCAGGCCCTGCGAGGCGGCGCCGCGCGCGGGCCGGCAGTGTGCCGCGGAGGGACGAGCGTTCCCGGCCGTGAGCGCGCTCTGCCTCTGCCCGCACAGCCTCAGCACGGCCGAGCTCCTGGGCGGCCACGGCGCCGGGAAGGACGGAGTCCTCCCCAGGACGCTGCAGAAGCTGGCGGCCGCGGCGGCTCYGGGCGCCCAGCAGTGGCTCGTGGTGGACGGCAGCGCCTGCTCCGAGTGGCTGGAGCCCGTCTCGTCGCTGCTGAGCGGCGGGGGAGCCCTGGGCCTCCCCGACGGCCGGCGGCTGCAGTGCCCCGCGAGCGCGCGGCTCCTTTTCGAGCTGCCCGACCTCTCCGGCGTCTCGCCCTCCGTGCTCACGCGCTGCGCCCTGCTGCACTTCGGTGGCTCGGGGCTCTGGCAGGCGCTGCTCGCCTCTGTGCTGGACCCCATGAGCAGCCTGTACAGCGTGGAGCGGCGGAGCGTGGCCGCGCTGCGCGGCCTCGCCGAGGATGTCTTCCCCGCCACGCTCGCCTTCCTGCAGCAGAACTGCTGCTCGGCGCTGCACGCGCACCCCGAGCTGCGCAGGACGGTGGCTCACGGCATGGCAGAGGTCGCGGCCTTTACCAGGATCCTGAAGGCCTTGCTGGACCAGCTTCTGCGGCGGGACGGGGAGCGCCAGCCTCTCAGCGCAGAGAGCCTGCATGGTAAGGGAAGCGCTGGCACGAGGAGAAGCCAGGAGCGTCCTCCTGTGCTCATGGGCCAGGCTTTGAGCACCAAGTATTTGGGTCCTCTGGTCCRTCTGCCTCGGGGTTAGACGCAGGACACGAGCTCAGGTCCTGGCRTGGGTGTCCCAGGCGGGCGGGCCCCTCCTCTGGGATCGCCGTTGTGCTGCGTGTCCCTCGTGTGTCTGGGGACGGGAGGGCTGCGCCCCGATCACCCGAGGAGCAGGTCACAGCAGTGAGCAGCGAGCCCTCGGCGTTGCTCCCCCTGCCACGCCAGCGTCTCCCCATCTCCCTTGTGCTTCCTCCTTCTCTTTCAGTGCGAGCCAGCATCTGCTCCATAGTGGGAGATGCCTTTTCCTGCCAGTTTTTGGATGACTCTGTCCCTGCCCATCACCACCAGCTCGCCCAGAGCATCTTTGTGGTTGCCTACGTCTGGGGCTTCGGAGGCCACCTGCAGCCCAGGTACAAGCGGGGTGCCCGGGTAGGACGGCACTGCTGGGACGTGGTCCCTCGTGTCTCTCAGAGCTGTTCTCRCCCTGGCCCCACGTCCTGCTTGCCCGTGACTGCCACAGCAGGACACAGCAGGACAGCTCTCCTTGCGCTTGGTCCCGGCTCCAGCGGGAGCGCGGGGTTTGGAGAGAGGGACGCACCATGAGGGCAAGGGGAAGAGGGGGGTGTCGGGACTTGGGGTGCAGCCCTAGCTTGAGGTGGGTGCTGGGGTCTGCCAAGAAGGTGGGGAGCGGCTGCCGCTGAGCTCTGTGCTCCTGCACAGGTTCCACTTAGCTCTGTGCTCCTGCACAGGTGCCGCTGAGCTCTTTTCTCCTGCCTGCTCCTGCTCAGGTGCCAGGAGCTCTTAGCTCTGCGCTCCTGCACAAGTTCCCCTTAGCTCCGTGCTCCTGCTCAGGTGCCAGGAGCTCTTAGCTCCGTGCTCCTGCTCAGGTGCCGCTGAGCTGTGTTCTCCTGCACAGCTGTCACTTAGCTCTGTTCTCCTTCCTGCTCCCGCTCAGGTGCCGGGAGCTCTTTGGGCACTTCGCCCGCAGGGCGCTCTACAACAGCCGGCACCGAGTGGAGCTGCCGCCGGCCTGCTCGGCCTTTGATCTCTACCCTCATCCTGGCGACGGCAGCTTGAGGACCTTTGACGGGACCTACCTGCACAGCAGAGTCAAGGGGATCCCCATGTCCTTCTCGGTGCTGCCGCAGGTACCGYCCGGCTGGCTGCACAGCCGGCGCTTCCCACGGGTCCTGCGGGTCCCCCAGCGCAGCAGGGGCACGGCTGGGCCGGAGGTTCCCCTAGTTAGTCCCAGACACAGCTGGATCCCGGATATTCCCGGGATCGCGTCACGCTGTAGGGCCGCTGGAGGCCATGCCCTCCCTCCGGCCTGTCCARGGGAACGTTCCCGGCCGGTCCGCGAGGGCAGCGTGGCGGGAGGCGCTGGGTTCTGGAGCTCCGCTTCCCCGCAGCACGAGCGGACGCTCTACGTGGTGGACCTGCTGCTGGGCTCGCAGCAGCCCGTGCTGCTGGCCGGCGAGCCCGGCTGCGGCAAGTCGGCCTTCGCGGAGGCGCTCGTGGCGCCCGTGCACCCCTTCCAGCGCACCGCGGTCTCGCCGCTGCTCGGCGCCGGACACCTCCGCCACATCCTGGAGAGCAGGATCGGGGGCCAGGCGCCCCGGCTGGCCCAGCACCGCGCCTCCCTTTCCCGCGGCAGCAGGAGCGCCTGCCTCCTGCTCCTGGAGGACCTGCACACGGCAGCGTTTGGTGAGCACCTCCCGGCACTCGTGGACGGAGCCGCTGCTCGAGATGGGGTCTGCCTGGGGCGCCTGAGCACCCCCCGAGCCTGATGCGGGACCCCTGACGCACAGCGCGTGCAGACGCACTGTGATGCATGGAGATGCCTGGCCGCACTGCCCGGGCTCCTCAAGCCCTGCGTGGCGATGGTGCCGCAGCCCGCGGCGCGGTGGCGCGTGCTGAGCCCTCACGCACGGCGCGCGGTGCTGGACGGGCACACGGAGCAGCCGGGTGCCCCCCTGSGCACGCGGGAGCTGCGGGCAGGCGGCGTGGCGCAGCCGCCCCGTGGGGCTGGCGGCCGAAGGATCCCCCCCGCCCGGGAGGGGGTCGCAGAGCGGGTCTCTCTTGGACCCTGCCCATCCAGAGGGACCCAGGCTGCTGCTCCGGGGAGTCTTCCCTGCTGTTGTGCTGTGTCCGTCCCGCCGGCCTGGACAGGGCTGCGGGCAGCAGGGCTGAAAGTCGCAGTCATTGTGTTTGGGCACACCGATTTGCCTCGAGGACGGGCTTGCGACTGGCAGCAGAATGGCTGTACAGACCCGGCTCCATCCTGCGCCCTGTCCGGTCTCTCAGAAGCAAGCTTCAGTTGCCCAGAAAAAAATATATATAAGAAAAAATATATATAAGAACAAGGAAATATACAGTGACACTTACCCCAGTCACTTACAGTGACTGCCCCCACTTACCCCCCGAGTTTCAGAAAATTGAGCCTGAGCAATATTGTTAGCCAGGCTTTGTACCTCTGATTGCTGTTAGCCTTTAATGGACATTTTCCCATGTATCCGCCTAGTTATTTTTTGCACCAGATTAACACTTTTTGCTTCCACTCAGTCTCATAGGAGTGGGTTCCACTTTGAGAGTTAAGTGGGTGCTGTTAGGAAAAAAAAAAAAAATCCTTTTGTTAATTTTGTCTCTGCTGGTGGGTCATTTCATGTGGTGACCGGTGCCCTGCCAGTCTGGGCGCCCCTCACTGGAGCCAAGCCCTAGACTGTCCCCGGGGTCAGCTGAGCCGGCCCCACGAGAGGTAAATCTTAGAGGAGGTGTATGAATTCAGCCTTGAATTAGGCCCGTTTCTTTACCCCTCTTGGAGCCTCCTCTACATGACTGTCTGCAGCGTGGGTGATGTGTTTGGGTTCTTCCCCGCAGATCCCAAGCGGGCCAGTCATCCCGTAGCCGAGACTTTGCGTCAAGCCCTGTCCCACCAGGAGGTCCACAGCGCCACGAGCCTGGAGCTCCAGCGTGTCTGCTCCGCACAGATCAACTTCCTCGCCACAGTGGCCGCGCCGGTGGCCGATGTGCAGCCTCTCTGCGCTCGCCTCGTGAGGCTCTTCAGCGTTCTCTCGCTGCCGGCGGTCACCAGGSAGTCCCTGCTCGGCTGCCACGCGCCTCCGCTCCAGGGCTGGCTGGAGAAGTTCCCCTTGCTCTGCAGGCAGCACGAGCTGGCCGCTGCCGTGGTCGGGGCCACCGTGGACCTGTACGAGGCCGTGCGGGCGAGGTTCTGCGCTTCACCCGCCCGCTGCCCCTTGCATTTCTCCTTCCACCACATAGAGAAGGTCCTCAAGAGCATGCTGATGCTGCAGCCCGGTCCCAGGGTTCATCTCTCCAGCCCCTTGGAAGACCCCAGCAGCAGCGTGGCAGCAAAGAGCAGCCTACCAGACGTGAATTTCAGCATGGTGTTGAGCACGCGGCTCGTTGTCCGCCTCTGGCTGCACGAGTCTCTGCGCACGTTCTGCGACCCTCTGGCCACGGCAGAGGAGCAGCAGCAGTGCAGGCAGCTGGTGCTGGACGTGGCCAAGAACGCGTTCTGCGCTGAGCGGCGCGTCCTCAAGGGCCTCGCTGGCAGGGGACACGGGTCCCAGGGCAGCGAGAGTGGYGGTGGTGGTCAAGCACGCGGGGAAGCCGGCGCTGAGGAGGACACTGAGCCTGAGAGCGAGGAGGAGCCCAGCTCGGAGAGCAGCAGCGACTCTGACTGCGTGGACGACGCCTGGGACCCTGTGGAACAGGCCCCTGCCCTGGCTCTGGACCCAGAAAACTTCTCTGCTTTCCAAGGGTCCCTCTTGAGGCTGCTGGTGCCTGACGTGTCGGAGACGGGCGGCAATGCTCCTGCACATTTGGCTGTGGACCAGCACAGCAGAACCAACGCGCCRAGAAGCCAGCTCAGGCCCTGCACAAGGCGAGACGCTGCCCGACCTCTGCTGCCCCCCCACCTGCTGCTGCTGCCCGGGGAGGACGTGCGTGACGTCCTGTTCAGCAGGCTCCCTGCGCTGGCCTCCAGCCAGGACACCTTGTATCAGGAGAGGCGGTGGGACACCATGCAGCAGCAGCTCAGCGCCGTCCTCCCCGGGGACGTGGAGCTGGGCAGGGAGGTCACCGAGCACTTGGTGCACCTGCTGCGGGTGCTCTCGGGCCCGGAGAGGCACGGGGCCCTAATTTCCTTCCACCTTTGCACGGGGAGGAGGTCCCTGGTGGCGCTGGCGGCCCACGTCATGGCTGCCCAACTCGTGGAGCTGAACAAGCAAGCAGGAGAAGCAGCGGTGAGGGAGCTGGTCAGGAAAGCCTGCTGGGAGGCCGGGGTCCAGGGCAGACAGACCGTGCTGCTGGTGCACCAGGGCGTCGATGTGGACACCGTGCAGAAGGTGCTGATGCTGATGAGGGAGGGCACCTACCCCGACCTGCACGGCCCGGAGGACGTGGTGTCCATTGTAACGGCACTGCAGCCGGAGAACCAGGGCGCGAGAAAGGCGACGCAGTCTGACGTGGTTATCAGAAGGTAGGGACGTACAGACGGGCAGCCTGGGGCTCTGCTTCACCAGTGGGTCCCTCCTGCCTCRGAGGGGTCTCCGTGCGCAGCGCTGCCCTGCCTGGCTCTGGAAGGCCATGCCCGGGTGACGGGATGGGATGGTCCCGTGCAAGAGCCCGTGCTGTGTGTCACTGCCGCTGCATGATCCCTCCTCCAGGTTCCACCAGCTCGTGAAAAGCAATCTGCACGTGCTGCTGCTGCTGGATGGTCGCAGCGGGCAGCCGCAGAGCTGGCAGCCCTTCGGCTTCCCCGCGGCTACAGCCTGGGCTCTGCTGAGCATGTCGTGCAGCACGGAGCTGTACTGGCCCTGGAGCCACGCCATGCTGCAGCAGATAGCTGCCCAGCGCCTGGAGGAAGCGCTGGGCCAGCCCCATCTGCAGCGCCAAGGTGAGGTGCCCTCCAGCTCTGCCAGGGCCCAGGCTGCGCCCGGCGTCCCAGCCGAGGACGGAGGGTGTCCAGGCATTGAGTTTACACAGTTCCGGCTCTGGATCCCCACTGCTAACGTTGCGTGGGGATCGTTGCTGCACGTGTGTAATGCTGCACATACCTACTTACCTGTCCGTGCCTGCGTCAGCTGCAGGGTCGCTGCACGACCTGGACAAGTCCCTCGTTAACATTGCTGCTGTCATGGCCTCGATTCACTGCTCCGCTCGATGCTATGCTGAGTACCTGGTATCTGATGTGCCCCTCGTCACACCAAAGACCTTCCTGGAGTTCCTCGACATCTTCCTCCTGGTGTCAGCACAGTTCCACAGGAGGTTTCGTCAGCGGATGGATCGGTGAGTAGACACCAGAGCCGAGTGCAATCACCTAATGCCCCCAGGCCCAAGCAAACCCCCCATTCCCCTTGCATGGGGTGAGCAGGCGGCAGGGTCAGAAGGACCCTTTGCTGCTAGCAAGCCTCACCCCTGCGGTGAGACCCGCTGCATCCCCGGAGCACCTCCTTGAATGGGCCCAGCCTCCTGTCTAGCCCAGAGCTTGTGTCCCCRGTGCTTTTCCAGGCCTTTCTGGCTCTGACCCTAAGGGACTGCCTGCCCTTATTGCGCTCCAGCCCATTTATGCTCRTGCTCTCCTTGCTCCTCATTCGACAGCTTTTCTTCCTCCCCAAGCCTTGCACCCTGGCTGCGCACACTGGGTTGACTGGAGGACAGGGTGACGGTGGAAACCTGCACCTCAGTGGGGTCAGACCGGTGCCTGTGTCTCATGCATGTGCCTGCCATGAGTAAGAGTCCCGTGGTGGGGACGGATGCCGTAGCAGTTGCTCCACATTCCCCTTCACCTGGRTGCACAAAAACAATGTTGTCTGGGATCCAGGAGTGATAGTTCCCTTCCTCCTGTCTTCTCCTGTTCAACACCAGTAAATACAGCGGAAGGGTCTGACTGTGAGGAAGGAGCCCTCAAGGGTGATTATGGGTTCAGAGACCTGTCCCTTCATCTGACACTGCTGGAACTGGGGTTGGCATTCCCAGACCTGTGACCATCTGGGCACTGCTGGTGGACCTGCTCGTTGGAGCCACATCGTGCTGGATTGCAAGGGGACGGCTGTGCTCCTTGGGGCTCTTCCCTTGGGGCAGGGTGAAGCAAGCCTTAGCCAGGATGAAGGAAGTGAGTCAGAAGCAGGAAACGTGCAGCCAGCACATCGCAGACGTGCAGCGGGAGCTGATCCAGATCAAGGAGGTGGGCTGCTCGGAGCAGGGCCCGGGTACCTGTACCGTGCTGCAGCATGGGGAAAGAGCCAGGAGAGACACTTTGGGTGCCTGTGTCTGTGCTGGGACACTGCTAGGGAGCACCCGAGGGGTTTTCCTTTGCCATCAGTGGTCCAGGATGACTCTTGAGAGTTTTGTGGGGCAAGAGCTCACCCRGGAAGAAGAAATCACCCCTGAAGGCCAGGGCTGGCCCCTGTGCCCTAGGGTGTCGCTATGGGGCACCCTGCTGTGGGAAGGCTCCCGGGTCACTCTGGGATCCCCTGCTGTCTCCAGTGTCCCCAGGGAGCGCTGCGGGATGGCGGTGAAGGCAGCAGCTCTTCTTGGTGGTCAGCTGGGTCGCTGGTGCAGGGCAGGGCAGCTGCCGAGGTCCCACTGCCCTCGTGTCGGTCCTGGCAGAACTGGGGACCCGGAAGGCCCCTTGCTCCTCCCTGCTGCCTCCGGCRCTGTTGTCCACTAGCCTGCTTGCCTTTTGTGCTTACCTTTCACTTCTGTAGTTTGCGTTTTTTATATATATACTTTTTACTTTGGTATTTATCCGGCRGGGGTATTATGCCAAGTTGCAACACTTCTCACCTCCCTGTGCAGCGCTGAAGTGTTTTCTGTAGTTGTTCTTGAGGTGGAACTGGTGAAATGGGCAGGGCTGTGCAAACTGGGGCTCCCGGGGGGCCACGTGCAGCCAGAGGGTGTCGGCAGCTCCTCCGCGCGGCCGGTCGGGCGCCGGGGCTGCCGCGAGGCTCGCGCCGCCCTCTCTCCGCAGAGCCTGGGCTGGTACCGGCAGTGCGCGGGGCACAAGAAGGCAGTGCTGGCGCAGGAGGAGCAGGACTGCCAGGACCACAAGGCCCGCATGGAGGTCCTCACGCGGGAGCTGGATGCGCTCATGCACACCAAGGAGGCTGCCCTGCAGCAGGTATCCGTGGTGGCTCGTCCTCGTCCTCATCCTCATCCTCGCCGCGGGGCTGCGCCGCTCCCGCTGCGTGCACAGCCTGGGTGGCAGCTCGGGGTGTCACCCAGGCTGCTGCACTCACCTTCCTCCTCTTCCTCAGATGACCACAGACTACCAGGCTGCGCGCGCCGAGCTCACCGTGAACCACATCGAGGAGCTGCGCAGCTACCGCGCRCCGCCGGAGCCCCTCGTCCGCGTCACCGACGTCCTGTGCCGCATGTTCAGGAGGGAGCCGGGCTGGGAGAGCGCCAGGCAGCTCCTSGGCCAGGAGACCTTCTACCAGGTGAGGGGCCGGCCGCTCGGCTCGGGGCCTCCCGGCACCTCTGCCTGCAGCAGAGCACGGCGCTCGGCTGTGCCTGCTGCGCCTGCTGTGTGCGCAGCATCCAGAGCTCCCCCAAAAGAACTGCGGATCCCTCTCCTGTCACACGTCTTGCTGGGTTTTCCCTGGTGCCTCAAACCATAGGTCACATCCSCACACCCTTCTCAGCAGCTCCGAGACGAACTTCCTTATAGAAGGAAGAAACCTTGTTGGTTTCTGGAGTTTCTAGATTTCCTGTCTATCTCTGGCCTTGCCGGGAAGTATCAACCGCTGTGGCTTCCAAAGGGGTCTTCAGACCTAAAGGAAATCAGTGCAAACCAAAGTGATTGCAGCGGTGTGGGATGTCCTTCCAAAAGAAGTCTGCATGTGTTCATCAGCTGGAGCGTGGCCGGTGGAGTCTGTAGACGGAGAGGAGCAGGAGCTGCACGGCTGCAGGACCGTGGCTCCATCCCAAGGTCCATGCTGTTGTTTTTAGAGCTCCCTCCCACATCAGTTAGCCGTAGGGAAAGGTGCTGGTTTTCCAGAGTGAATGCTTTCCCACTTTGAGCTCAACCTTCTGCAAATGATTAACTAAGCAGCAAGCCCCAGCTCCCAGCGAAACGAGGTGCAGGGTAGACTCCTTTCCGAAGGTGCACGACTGTCAAGTTACCAACCTTCTGTCAAAGATGCTGCTTAGTCCTTGCTGGAGAAGACTTCACTGCTCTTTGACTTCACAGAGCTCGTGATGAGAAATGCATACCAGCTTCTGAGAGTCCCAAATTTAGCTCAGTCTGCAGAAAAATAACGGGTTTATTTCAATATCCACTTTTCAGGATTTATTCTTGCAGTACAAAATGTGTGCCCGGTGCTGTTTAGGGCTGGATGCAGTCACTCTTAGCCCTGGACAGCGTGCAAGTCTTTGACGAGTTTGTACTAGGAAGGCAAAAACTGAAGGTCTTAATTAGGATCTGCTAACAAAATTGCAAACTGAACATGAAAAAAAATCCCTGTGAATTCGGACTGTAGCTCAGACTACCTGCTGCTGTTGTACGTGGCGCTGATCTCAGCCAAAGCAAGCAGGCTGGCGAAGGAGGMGAGGTGCAGGGCTCCAGCGGGGCGTGCGGAGGGACTCGCACTGACTCCCGGGTCTGGGGCACAGAGCAGAGCAGGCTCTCCATGAGGAGCAGGCTCAAACACGAGTCTCCATGAAGAGCAGGCTTGGACATGAGTCTCCATGGAGAGCAGGCTCAAACACAGGTCTCCATGAAGAGCAGACTTGGACATGAGTCTCCATGAAGAGCAGGCTCAAACACGAGTCTCCATGAAGAGCAGACTTGGACATGAGTCTCCATGAAGAGCAGGCTCGGACACGAGTCTCCATGAGGAGCAGGCTTGGACACGAGTCTCCATGAGGAGCAGGCTCAAACACAGGTCTCCATGAAGAGCAGACTTGGACACGGCTCTCCATGAGGAGCAGGCTCAAACACGGGTCTCCATGAAGAGCAGGCTTGGACACGGGTCTCCATGAAGAGGAGGCTCAAACACAGGTCTCCATGAAGAGCAGGCTCAGACATGGCTCTCCCTGAAGAGCAGGCTCAAACACGGCTTCTCCCTGAAGAGCAGGTTCAGACATGGCTCTCCATGAAGAGCGGGCTYGGACACAGCTCTCCATGAAGAAGAGGCTTGGACACGGGTCTCCATGAAGAGAAGGATCAGACAACGTTCTCCATGAAGAGCAGGCTCGAACACGGCTTCTCCATGAAGAGCAGGCTCGAACACGGCTTCTCCATGAAGAGCAGGCTCGAACACGGCTTCTCCATGAAGAGCAGGCTCGAAGACGGCTCTCCATGAAGAGCGGGCTCGGACACAGCTCTCCATGAAGAGGAGGCTCGGACACAGCTCTTCTAGCCCAGCACACAGAGGTGGAACCAGGAAGGGCTGTGTCATGACCCACATGCAGCACTTGTGCCGGGAACATCTCCCCATTCCGGCCTCAGAAGCGGGCTTGTTGGGGCAGACTCTGTCATTCCCAGCTCTGGGCATTGGGGAAGGGGAGGCGCGAGCAGATGCCGAGGCCACCGGCACACACTGGCCCCAGGCTGGGCGCACCGAGCTCTGCTCCAGAGCTGCTCCAGAAGCTCGTGCCACCTGGCAGAGCCCCGTGCGCCCCGAGGCCGGCGGCACCACGAGAGCTGCACGGCAGAGCAGGTAACGGCCACCGCGTTGGTCCCCAGCTAGCAGGGACGATTGCCAAGCAGCTTCAGGAAAGCTGGGCGGTTCCCAGGCCCGAAACCCAATTGGGTCAGGAGGGGGCTTGTTTCTTGTCGGGTGCTTCAGCCCTGTATGTGGAGAAAGGTTCTTCCCTTTTTACCTTGCACAGGATCAACCAAATATCCTGCTGCAGCAGAGAGGACACGTGCAAGTGTCTGGGTCCACAGCGCTGCCTTGGACTGGAATCACCCCAGTGAGGGACTGGCCGCTCCCCACACYGTGCTGAGCCGAGTGGGTCAGGAAAGGAGCCTTCACCCCACTTGGAGGGGCCAGACGGTGGCTGTGGAGGTGTCTGCTGGCATGGAAGGCTCCATGCGCCTGCCAGGGC